ATCACAAACAAGCTGGGCATGCATGCTCGGTTTGCTATGGAGCTGTTTGAATTAATGCAGCGTTTTGACGCGTGAAGTGCTCTTCCAAGCATTTTTTTTAAGTCTGTCTTAACTCGGAGCGAGATGCCCCTAGTTTGATTATTCCCCCGCAAGCTAGTTGAGAGTACGTACGAGAGACTACGTGGACTATTCTCCCCCCTCAGGGTCTTCGCTAAAGATAATAACGTTGTCTAGGTACGCTATGCAGAATTCGTCGAGGTACTCGTAAAGGACGTCGTTAATGTAGGCTTAGAAAGTCCCTGGGCTATTACACATCCTAAAGGGCATCACCGCATACTAGTATAGCCTATAGGGAGTGATAAAGGCAGAGAGGTGCTTGTGCTCTTCTTTAATCCGTATCTTGTTGAATGCAGCAATAATATTAACCTTAGAAAAGTACTTTAATTTTAATAGCTTTGCTAGCATATCTTAAATAAGCGGTAGGGCGTTTAAGTTCTAATAGTGTGGGCGTTAAGACCCTAGTAATCTACGCAGATCTAAATGCCTCTACTAGGCTTGCAGACTATAAGGAGGGGGGTAGCCTATACTAAAGTACTGCGCTCGACATAGCTCTTCTTAATTATATTATCAACGTAGAGCTTAACAGCTCGTGCCTTGTCGCGGGACATAGGGCGCAGCTGTTGTGAGGAGGGCGTAGGTGGTTGTCCTGAATCGCTAGGTTTAAGTTCGATCTTGTGGTCTAGATTGCCGCGATAAGGAGGCATCTTATCTACTTCCTTTAGATTAAACCCTTAATATAAGTGATAGAGGACTTTTAGAAGTTTATTAAGTATGTCTTGCTTAGACATGTAAGGTTATTCTATCTTATCTTAGAATTTCTCGTAGTCCTTAAGGAGCACTTTAACACCGGCATTTCGTAGTAATTATGTATCCTCCTACTCCTCGTCCGACATCTCAGCGAGCCGACAGATCTCTTCGTAGGAGGTGATGCTAATATCGTTATTCCTACATACAGCGGCAGCGGCTACTCGGCTAGATATATAAGAGACGTTAATTAGAGGAGGGGCTTTAGGGTAACGCGCTACTTTTTGGCAAGGATCTAGTGGTTGTAGGAGCGGTCGCTTCTAGTGGCGACTGCTCTAGGCGTGATAAGGACGGTAATCGTGTATACACTCGTAGAGGCAATGTTCTAAACTGAATGTTAAGGACATATTAGTCTAGTTAACCTGTAGTTTATAGGTCTAGAACTACGGGGTGCCTAGGATTATCTAAACACCTAAGAGCTTAGTTATATAAGCGAGAACGTCTTCTGTATAGTTACTAAAGGAGACTGTAACGCGAGCTATATAAGTTACGCTAATAACTTAGGAGCTATCCGTGAGTTCGAGAGTAGCGGGTTTATTAAGCGGTATAAGTTTATATTTATATGCGCGGGCATAAGAAGAATCGAGGAATAGAGAAGCACAGCTAGTGTCACCTATTATTTCGACGTGTTGTGGAGTAGAAGAGTAGTTCGATAATAAAATAGTTCCATTAAAGACTAATTGCTGACCCACGAGGGGTTAGTACACGTCACCGCGTATAGCGGCGGCAGCAATAGTTAAGATAGTGATCTAAGACCCTGTTATACTCTATTGTTTAAGAGCTTTAACACGATCTGCGATCGCCTTAAGGGTTAGATTAGGATTATCTTTAACATTAGTGCTATCTTCTACTAGGGGAAGGGACGTCGGAGAGTTAGTAATAAAGCGTTTTAGAGGTAACTCTTCTTCTTTATTGCTGTCTTCGACGTATAGGAACGGTAGTGAACTAGCTAGGGACTTAGGTATAAGGGGAATTAGTGCTAGTTGTGCTAGGGTTAGTTTCTTATGCCGTAGGGGTCCCTAGTAGCGACTATCGCCAGGGACAACTAGTTTTCTAGAGACTAGGGAGGAGTCTTAAGAGCGTTTACCGCATTAACGCCGATAGCGGCGCCTTAGGGAGTTTTAGGACGAGCTAGGTCGCCTACAGGCTTGCCTCCGTTAGCGATTGCCTTTTCTAGGGCGTCCTGTACTTTAAGGAACGTGTTAAATAGTAAAGGGGCTTAACCTAAGTAATAGCCGCCTATAGCCTTATAGCTGTAGTTCTTACAGGTGTAGTTAAAACAACGGTTTATGTGGCGGAGGACCTTAACCTAAAGGTCGGTGCGGCCGCGTAGGCCTGCTCCTAACCTAGAACTGCTAGTGTTGTTAGAGGACGTGTTCTTGTTACCGCCGTTGTTGCCTCCACCGCCGCTACCGCTACTACGGCCTCCACCGGCTGTCGAGCGCGTGGGGTTAGCTTGTTTAAGGTAGCGGAGGATGTTGCAGAAATTAAGGAAGGTAAGATTAGGCTCTATAACCTTTATAGCGGTCTAGTCGCAGAACTATGTAGGGAGGCGATTACGCATAAATTAGATCTTTAGCGCGTCAGCCTAGCGGAGGGCGGAGGTGCCGACGTTAAAGCGGGCGATATACTCGCCTATAGACTCGCTGTGCTTTATGTAGGACTTGTTACTCTCGTAGAGCGCTTGCGCTTTAATTATAGTGTTAATGGTCTTAAAGACACTGTCTAGAATAGACTAGGCTTTATCACTATAGACGAACTCGACGCCCGGGTCTAGGAAGCTATACTAGATATATCCAAAGGCTTTCTCCTTAGTCTTCTATTAGATGTAGCTAAGCTTTTAGGCTTTAGTGGAGTAGTTACGGGCGTAGTCGTTAAACTAGTCGAGGACGTCCATCTTCTATTTAAGATAGTCGACGTGAGAGGTATCTTTACTAGAGAACACCTCAGGTTCTGGCTTCTTGGGCCTAGGTCGACGA